TTTTTGGCTGAAGTGGCCTGGTGGCATAGTAGGCTATGAGTTGGGCTGCTTGTCACAAGATCGGCAGTTCAATCCCACTCACTAAGCCACTACTCCTAACCCTAACACTTGTTGGTAGAAAGTATAGATTTACAGTCTCAGAACTCATATGGGGCAGTTCTACTCTGTCATGTAGTGAGTTTGGGACGAGTAAATTGATTGGGAGGGGAAAGTTTTCCTTCAAGTATGAAACAGCCATGGCTAGAAAGCCAAGTGGTTTGTGATGAATGGATGGCTTTTATATGGTCTTTCTTCCAAGGGCCTTGTATTTGGGTAGGACTATGTAACAAAAAGATATTTTGAGACACCGAGAGTATTAGACTGCTTCCATAAAGATTTATAGCCGCAGGAACCCAAAAGCGTCACTATGATTTGGATTCAGCTCGATGGTAGTTGATGATTTTTAGGTTTTATAATCCCCATATCCATCATCCTCCCGCATGAAACACTATGTATATACTTCACTGTACTCCGTTTCAATAATTTGTATATATGGCCAAATCCCCATTGAACCATAAGCGCTTCTAAAGGGTCAGAAACTAACTTAGATGTTCTACCACTCTAGGATAACACCACCTCATTCCCCTCTATAGCTCTGCAAAATGCTTGTCAACATTCAGGTATTCCTAAAACAAAAAAAGAGGGGCAGGGGGTGTGGTGGTGGGGCAAGTGAGAGTAGAAAATGTAAGGGAACTGTTCTAAAATCCTTTTTTCGGTTGAACACGTACATGAAGACCTTTAGTTTGGAATATATTCCTGTAAGTGGTGTCACGGTATGCAAATTGGTCGAGAGATTGAATCTTCTTTCCCTCCAGCGGGGAAGGCACAAAGGCTAGATTCCACTTGTTGGGACATCGACAGAAAAAAATGGGCTCACCTGCCAGGCTTCTGTTATCAAGCAGTGACTTCATCTGGCTTCTTTCTTGGAACCTGGGTGAATGCTTCTCATGCAACAAACACAGAGGTGCCAAAGGGAGTGGAGCACAGTTGATTCCCTGCGGTGAGGTTCCTGAACCCGACCTGCCTCAGACCACACTCGAGGGGGAGGGCCCTGCAGGAGGAGAGAGCCTTCCCTGAAGATCACAAGGAAAAGCGATTAGGAATTCAATCTTTCTGCTTCAAAGTTCAATGAGCGCTCACTGATTCATTAAGTGTCTCTTTTTCTAGCTTCAAAACCGTGACTTAAAATAACTGACTAAGCACAGGGCAATCCGAGTGGCCATAAGTTTGTGTCCCAAGCCAGGACCGTGTAGAACCTGATGCCATCCACAAGGTCAAGGCCAGTGCAGTGATGGTGTCTATGCTCCACAGATGAGTGGGCATAAGGAGGATTGCTCAGAGGAACCAGCGAAAATGCATGAAAGACAAGCAGCTTCTTCGGAACTAGCTCAGCTGTGAAGGAAAAGAGAAGAAAAGAGAGCTAGAATGTGTAATAAAGACATAGGACCTGGGTGGGGTGTGTGTGGATAGCACATCTTATAAATGGGTGAATTTGTGTGATGCAGCAAGCACAGCAGCACTAAAGAGCTGTGGAGCAAGGCTGATTCCTTGAGGTGGGGTGTGTGTGTGTGTGTGTGTGTGTGTGTGTGTGTGTGTGTGTGTTCTCAGTTTTCTTCTTTTTTAAATTAATCATTTTATTGGGGGCTCTTCCAGATATTATAAGTATCCATAAATCAGTTGTATCAAGGAAACTTGTACAGAAGCTGCCATCATCATTTTCAAAATATTTTCTTTCTACTTGAGCCCTTTGATATCAGCTCCTCTTTATTCCCTCCCTCCCCCACCCTGCCACCCTCATGAACCCTTAATAAATTATATATTATTCTTATAATTTTTTTCATATCTTACACTGTCCAATGTCTCACTTTACCCACAGTTCTGTTATTCATCCCCCTCAAGGAGGGTCATGCATCCATCATTGCTGTCAGTTCTCCCCACTCCTGTTTCCCCGCCTCACTTCCCATGCCCAACCCCCATTCCCTCCCTCACTTCCCGGACCCTCATGGAATCATTTCTCTAATTACTGTTTCTGATGGGTTTGTCTATTCTGGATTCCATGTGTCAAAAGCTCTTATCTGTACCAATGTTCTTATCTGTACCAAATCCAGTCTAGCAGGGTTTGTAAGGTAGAATTGGGGACATGATCGTGTGGGGGGGCGGGGGGAACATTAAAGAACTAGAGGAATGCTGAGTGTTTCATCAGTGCTAATACTGCATCCTGGATGAATGTGTGTGTTTTAAGAAAAAAGATCTAGATCTTTTCTTTTTGTTCTTGGTAAAGATAACAGTAGAAAGGACAGCAGATAGTGAACATTTTTAGGAAAGACAAGATTGTACCACACTTGTAAAATGAATGCCTCCTTTGGTCATCTGTCCTAAGTTAAACCCCACTGGCATAATGGAAAATACATTTTCAGGAATAAATTTACATTAGAATTTTTTTAAAAAGCACAATCCATCTAGCAATAATAGGAGGAGTTCTGGAGGAAGGTGAGCAGGTGAAACCTAATTAATGGATAAACCTCAGCAAAGATATTTTAGCTAAAGGTGAACAAGAGACAACCATTGGAACAATAAACATCATGTCAGAAGAAGAGGATATTTAAATAAACATACACACTTGTGAGTGATGAAGCACCCCATGAAGGGAAAAGCTGGCAACAAGAAATTTCTAGAAACGTGATTGGAAATACAGGGCATCCCTCAGTGTGCAGTTGCCAGGGGATCTGAGGTCCAACTACGTGCACTCCATCCTAAGGTGCAGGGCCAGTCCCAACTGTTTGTAGCCCAATCAGGACCCTCTATCACAAGAAAGATTGGCACCAGATGTTGTTGTTGGCTGTCGAGGTCCTGGGGAGCCTGTCACTGTAGCCAAACACAGAGACCACATTTACTCGAGAAATTCCAAGTTTGATTCCTGCAAACACAGAAGGAAATAGCCAGGTTTCTGCTTTCTGGTCTCTTTTCCAGACAGATCCAGTGAAAATCAAACAAGTTAGATCCTTTGTGGGAGGTTGGGGGGAGGGAAATTAACAAGGATTAAAATGATCAACAGACCTTTAAGCTATGGGACAAATGGGAGCAAGGTTTCCTGGGAAAGAGTTTACATCTCCTCAAAGGATTACTCTTTGTTACTTCAGGGGGCAGTCAGACCAGTACCCCCTAAGGTTTCAGGCTCCAATGCTTATCTAAATGGCCCTGTTTCCCCTTCCTGAATTAGGAGCATCCTGAATAATTAGTAGGTGTTTCAACAGGCCGATGTCTTGAATAATTAACAGGTCTAAAATGAATTTACTGTAGGTGTAGGGGTTGTTTCTCAGGTCCCTTTTAATAAACTCAATCTCAACAAACTACATTACATTTCTAGTATTGACTAATGCAGGCTGACTCTTCCACTTCCCAACATCAATGCCATTGCCTGTTTGTTGGAAATGGAAAATTGTTTCTAACTAATAGTCTTTACACAAATTAGCATTCATGCCTGAAAATGGAAGACAAAAAGTTAAGGAGAAGAAGAGGGAAGTTAAAAAGGAGGAAATTCCTATATACAGACTCAAAGAGGATGCTGGATCATTTTGGAAGAATTATTTCAAGCTATAATCCAATAACATGAATTATAATATGAAATGATAGCCTTGACTAGAAATAGTAGTGATAGAGTAATAAAACATAGTTATCGCACATCACTATTTCACAATGCAAAAGAAAGCCAGTAGCTAAATTCTTATATAATTTTAATTGTAATTTTAAAACTGCTGAGGCAGAATGCAGGAAGCAAGAAGTAAGTGATGAGGATAAGGGAGAGGAAACAATCAAGAGAAAATCAATGAAAGATAATAAAAAGGTTCCGCAATGTTACATAGAAACCAGGCAATAGGATGGCTCAGCTCTCAGGAAGAGAGAGGAAGTCGGTGAAAGAGTCAGTCTCTGAGGCCATGCCTGCGAGGAATTCAAGAGCAAAGAGGAGGAGAGTGGGAGGGTAGGTACCCTTTGCAGCACCATGCATTCAGGGAGACCTAGGCTGTTAACCTTTGTGCCTTACATTTCATTTCTAACAACGTCTAAGTTTCATGGATTCGCTGTTTCTTTTGATTTTTCAGTCATACCACATTAGCAGATCCAGGTCCCTAATGTTTTACTCCATTCATATCACTACGATTGCCTCTGTCTTTGGAAGCAGTTCTCCTCCAATCAAATTGGAGTACCTTCCAATCTGAGGGGCACATCTTCCAGTACTGTATCAGATAATATTCCACTACTTTAACTAAGGTTTTCCATGACCAGCTTGTTAAAAACAGTTTTATTGGCATATAATTCACATACCATTCAATTCAATCACATTAGGAGAGTTGTACAATCACCACCACAATAAGTTTTAGAATGTGTTCTTCATTCTTGTATTCATCATTATTAGCTCCCCAATGGCCAGCTTCTTTTATAAGTAAATTACCTTGGGGTTTATTATTATTATTATTATTATTATTATTATTATTATCCTGGTCTGGAAGTTCCAATGAAACCTGTCTAGCATGAGTGATTTGCTATTTGAAACACTGTTGGCATAACTTTCAGCATCACAGCAGTAAGCAAATCACCACCGTGTAAAGAACAGATAGAGCAGTGGTGGTGGAAATAGCTAGAATTTTCATCATGATGCCCACTTTTTCCAACTATTTCTTTCTTTGCTTAAAAATGCCAAATTACCCCAGAGCCATGGTTAGTGAAAAACAACATAATAAGCTGTCACTTCCCAGCTACGTTCAGTTTACCAGCTTTGTGCTTAAACTAAAGACAGATGAGCTCCTTTTGGAAAGTACAGCAGAGATGCTCCCTTCAGTTAATGAGGCAAAGCCTTGGGGAGGGGAGGAAGTCTTGAGATGAGATTGGGCACGATAAATCAGCTTTGAAATTCTGCCTACAGGTTTTCTCTCTCAGGAAGGCTTGGGTCGAAACAATTTCCAGCATATTAACAAGTTGCTGTTTCTTTATCAGTAATCTACACAGCCAGACACCATGCCACTGTCTCGTCTTCCCTTTAACGTACTTAGGATGCGTGCTGAGTTTTCTTCGTGGCGTATCATTTGTAAAGGTGAACACAAAGAAAAAAAATTTTTAAGTTGCTATAGAGTTGATTCTGGGTCATAGCAATGTAGCCCAAGCGCTTTCACTTTAACTTACTATGATTAGAAAGTGCCACCACTCATCTGTCAGTTTGTTGTACTGGAGTCACTTACGCGTAGCTGTGAGGTTTAGAAGCTATGTCATTGGCATTTCAAACTCCAGTCACCCAAAAGTGAGCCGTTTTCAGCAGAGCTTCCAGGCTAAGAACTGGTGATGAATACGGAACAGACCGTCCACTTCTGAGGAAGTAGCCACTGAAAACCTTGTGGAGAGAATGAAAACATTTTCAGATACTCAAAAGCTCAGGACTAGCCGCTGAGCACTGTCAGAGACAGGGAGAGAAGAGGAGCCCCTCGGTGTGAAGGCTCTCAGCAGAGGATGGAGAGAACCTGCCTCCTCCCAGAGCGTGCACCTTCATGAGGAGGACAGAGTCAAGACTGCGGGGAGAAGCACTTCAGGGCCTTCCGGGGCTAATAGCACAGCTCAAAGTGAGAAGGAGCTCAAAACAGCAAGTAATAATTGGAACATTGTATGAAGGATGAATCTAAAGAATTGGAAATGGCCCTGTATTAGTCTAGGTACTTTAGAGAAACAAATCCACAGCAACTCATGTATAAGAAAGTTTTATGTAAAGTGTGCATCACGAGAACATCCCAATCCAATGCTGCCCAAGCCCACAAGTCCAACATTAACCCATTTACCCAACACCAGTCCACAAAGTCCTCCACCTCACAAAACAGGCAATAATGCCAACTGCAGGAGGAAAGCTGAGTCAGTGAACGAATAAGCATCTCAGCACTAGCAGGGGTCTCCACATGGCTGCTCCAGCACCCAGGGCTGCATC